ACCTGTTATCTAACCTAAGTGACCGGAAGCTAACCAATCAGTTATGTCTTCATTGCTTCCTATCCCTGTTCCTTTACAGGAAAGGTAACTTTGAGATAAGCACTCTGATTTGGGGGTTTGTGTCTGTTCTGTAGGCCTTTCTCCGTACTTAAATCTAAAGACACAGGGCACTGGCACACACTTGTAAGTTTTATTTTATGAAATAAGGTACTGCTTCATTCTACAAATGGAAAGGAAAACCAGTTACGGTCTTGAGACTTAAACATGCTGTGACTTTGGATTTTGACAACAGCAGTGCAGGTGACCCTGCCTCCAAGATGGTCCCTGGGCTCCTGGTCCACACGAGGCACAAATGGAAGCCCTTAGTTACAGGAGGATGTCTCATCTCCACACCAAGTACTCTCTGCACTGTCAAAGATGAACAGGTAATGATGGGTGAGAGTAGCAGCCCAGGAACCAAGGAAGCGAGGGTACAGGCGGGCTACCTCCATCGGTCAATGCTGCCCTCAGAGAAGCCCACAGAGAACACAATGACTGAGACCACTTTCAATGTCAGCATTGTCAGTCACAGAGATGACCACAGGAAGCCTGGAGGTGCTCCTGGTGCTGCCTTGTAGTGGGCAGGAGGACACCAAGTGAGGTTGCCACTGGGTCCTAACAGCTACTTGGGAAGAGGAGAAGTTGGAAAGTGAAGGACTGTTTGAGCCAAAGGAAAGTCGGGGATATGTTATGAGATGGGTCCATCCTTACTGGCTCCTTCATCTGTCCTCTTTGTGTCTATCAGGCAGAGAAGATTCTAGAATGGTGGCACATGATGCCTCATAGCCTCCTGGGAGACCCGGTTCAATTGTTCTGAATGCCAGCTTGCTACTCAAGGCCTGGGGGAAGGATATGAGACTCAGAGATTGAGGAAGTACGAAGATGTTCCACAGGTGCTGAGAGGCAACCTCTGATGCTCTGAATCTGTGAAAGAACCCTCTCAGGTGCCCTTGGAGGTGTGGAGCTGGAAGATCCACTAAGGAAAAGCCAGAGCTGTGTGACTGGGGCTCTCAGCGCCCTGATTTTCTCACCTGTCTCGGTGTATGAGAAGGCACAGCCTGGTGCCAACACTAAGAACGAGGCTCTGGGTGTGTCCCAGAAGGCAGTGAGCATGCACCACAGGCCAAGAGGCTCTGTCCTGCCAGGCAGATGCCCTGCTCTAGTGGTGAGGGCTGACCAAAAAGACAAGGACATGAAAACTGAGCTCTGGAGGATAGCCAAGGCCCACCTAGCTGGAAAGCCTCTTTATTTCTGTTTAAGACCTGAAGATACCCCCAAGGAGCCAGGAAAGTACCCAAAGGTAAAGGTTCAACAAATGTTAGGAGGTGTCCTGTCAGGAGTCATTCTCTCTCTCTCTCTCTCTCTCTCTCTCTCTCTCTCTCTCTGTCTCTGTCTCTGTCTCTGTCTCTGTCTCTGTCTCTGTCTCT